TCTATTTTGTCAGCTGCTTCGTGTGCACTTAAAATGGCACATCATTTGGTGAATAGAGTTGTTTCTCTCCGCAGTTACATCTTCCCCTGATGGTTACGTCAATTACCAAGACATCTATGTTAAAATCCCCAACTATGTTTGCAGGTTTGTTTCTTCTTTAAATCCTGTCATTGTTGCTTCATATATCTAAGCCATGTGATTAGGTACATGCACTTTTAAATATCGCATCTTCTAATTGAATCAAACTTCTATCATCGTGAAATGTCTGTCTTTAACTCTGCTAATTCTCCTAGTCTTTACACTTAGTATGACAATCTAATCAGATAAAGTTTCTTAAGGTTCTGTTTGCATGTTATAAATATATTTGCTATTGTTTTCCCCCCTTTTTTTTTTTTCTTGAGATGGAGTTTTGCTGTCACCCAGGCTGGAGTGCAGTGGTGGGATCTCGGCTCACTGCAACCTCTACCTCCTGGGTTCAAGTGATTCTCCTGCCTTAGCCTCCTGAGTAGCTGGGACTTCAGGCATGTGCCACTATGCCTGGCTATTTTTTTTTTTTTTTTTTGCATTTTTACTAGAGATAGGGTTTCACCATCTTGGTCAGGCTGGTCTCGAACTCCTGACCTCAAATGATCCACCTGCCTCAGCCTCCCAAAGTGCTGGGATTGCAGGTGTGAGCCACTGCACTTGGCCTGTTCTTTTACGTTCAATCTGTAAACAGCATATAGTTAGGTATTTTATTTTTTATTTAGTCCAACAAATGTCATTTAGGAGTTTTTAGTCTATATTTAATGTAACTACTAATATGATAGGATTTAAATTTATCATTTTGCTATTTGTTGTATATTTGTATTCTCTGTCCTTTGCTCTTTCCCTCCCACCTTCCTGCTTAGTTGGGGTAAAAATAACATTTATATTAATTGTACTTCCTTTGTTCTGTTTTCTAATGTAGGGGGAGCTTACTATGTGTATTTTTAACTTACCACAATCTATGTTCAAGTGCCAAATTTCTGTATGGTATTCTCATATTTCTGCCTGTAGAAACTCTGAACATTGTTTGGTCGTTATGGACTACTGGTGATGAATTATCTCAGTTTTTGCTGATTTAAAAATGTCTTTATTATGCTGTGATTTTTAAAAGGTGTTTCTTTTAGCTTAGAATTCTAGGCTGACCACTGACCACTTTCATCTTCAGTCTCTCTGAAGATGTCATCAGTCTTCTGGGTTGCATAGTTTCCGAGGAGAAGTCTGCTGTCATTCTTATCTCTGTTCCTTAATAGTATGTTGTTTTTCTCCAGCTTCTTTGAAGATGTTCTCCTTTTCAGTGGCTTTCAGCAGTCTGTGACACATGCCTCACTGTGTTTTGTTGTGTTTTCTTTTCTGCTGCATGCTTACAGAGCTTCTTGATTACCTGGTTTATAGATTTGGAAAAATTCTGGCCATTATTTCATCAAATATTTCTTCTGTCCTACCCCTCTCCTTTTCCAGGGCCCCAGTCACATGGGATAGGCCTGTGGCATTATTCCATGGCTGCTCAGGCCTCATTTCTGTCTGTTTCTCCCTGTACTTCACTGGGATCACACATTGCTGTATTTTCAGGTTCACTAATAGTTTCTCTTGTTGAGTCTAATCTACTACAGTCTCCATAAGGGTACGACACGGGCGATGGATGTCAGCCTGCCTTTTTTCCAGCCAACCCAGTGTTTACCTAGTAGAACCATTCACAAGCTGGAACTGGAAGTAGGGATGGAGACTGAGTGTGGATCCACAACAAACAGCTGACCCATCAACAGTAGCCTTGGCTGATGCAGTTATCACTGAACTCACAACCTGTCAGAAGCAGGGTCCACACTTAGCCCCAGGAACCGTTCCTGGGCAAGGGACCCTGCTTACTCAGCCCCCTGGAGGAGGCTGATCTCACTGGACTCTTCCATCAGGGAGGGGAATATCTCCTGGTTTCACTGCTCCCTTATTCCAGATATGGATGTGTCTTTGCTGTTAGTGTTTCTGCCAGCACCATCTGTGGCTTGATGAATGGCTTATTCACTATTGTCCACCTCCTGTGGCATTGTTAAGGAATTTAGTTTACAGCAAAGGCAGCATGGGCACAGGTAAACACTTGGAATCCCCCCATTTCCAATCACCCAGAGGTGGTGAGTCTGATAAAGCATGGCGATGACTTCTTGAAGCTTCAGGTGTGCCGCCCGTGGGAGGCAGTGCCCTGCAACACTGGACTGCTGTCCTGATGGGTGGGATGGTGCCTTGAACTTTGGACCAAGACACGGCACCATTTCATAGCCAGAATAATTTATTTAATGCCAATGGGTGGAACTGGAACCAGCCCTGTGCACTCCCCCATCCAGCACTTATTGCAGAGTTGGCAGTGCTGCTGTTCAGAAGATCCTTGCATTTCCTTTCAGGGGCTCTCCCTGCAGGGCTGCATGTCCCTGGCTGGTGAATTCAGCTGCATCCCTGTGGCTCACTGTGGCCCATGAACTAGGAAGGGGGCCTGCTGTGTTTTACATCTGTGCGGAAGAGTTGGCATCTAGGCAGGGTTGTCACCTCTCTCTTCCCAATGCCGTCTGACTGGCTGAGTCCCAGGAGGGGCTGCTGTGCTAGGGTCGATGCAGATGGTGACATGGAGCAGAGCTGCAGCTGACCTGCCTGGGAGAGACGGGAGAGGACCACATCTATTTAGCTGAGCCCTGAGTTTCACTGCTGTACACTTGCTACTGCAGCATCAATTATCCTAGGTGGGCTCATTCACGTACTTTTGCTTTTCTTGTTTGTGACGTTGGGCTCTTTTGCTTTCAAGGTCCTAGTTCCCAAGGCTGGAATGCTCTCACCTGGGACCACAGTGATCCATCTACTGCACTGGAAGTTCAGACGGTCATCAGCTCTTTGGGGCTGCTCATGCCACTTAGCTAATAGATCAAGAAAAGCATGCTGTGTCCATAGAGATGGCTAACCTGATCTTGGAGCTTTTTTCAGGCACTTCTCAGTGCTCTCACAACTAGTATTGGGACGAATAACGGCAAGATGACAACTGCTCCAGACACACTGGAATGAAAATTTGAGTCCTCTCACTGCGTAAAGAACCTTGACTATCCAAGGTATTGCTTAGGGTCAAGAAAACGTGGAATGGGTAGTGGAAGGAGGAAGGTGTAGACGCTGATCGCAGCCTCACAGCTAGCCACAGCATGAGGACAGTGGCGGGGACACAGGCTGTCTTCTTTGTGTGGGGTGTGTGTGTGAGCATGTAAGTAAATGTGTGTGCATTAGTTGTGCATGTGCCTGCACGGGAATGTGTGCCCATGAACGTGTGTGCATGTGATGTGCTCATACATGAGCATGTGAGCGTGTGTGCAGACGCATGTGCCTGTGATTGTGAGCATGTGTGGATGTGAACATTTCTACGTGTATGTGCATTTGAGCCTGTGAGCAGGCATGCCATTTGTTAACTGATTACTCATTTTCCCACCTCTCAGCATCCCCTACTATTTACACAGGGAATATTAGTGGTGTCGGATGGTGAACTTTGAAACTTAGTCTTTTTTTATGTCAGAGAATATCCAGAGGGTTTGTAGTTGTACCAGGAATCAGCATCCCCCCAATGTGGCGAGGAAGATGCGTGGGTCTTTACTTTTTCTGGGGAAAGTCACAGCACCGGTGTTTGATGGTGTGAATGCAGCAGTGTTAGGAGATGTCTGAGGTGTGTGGCTTACTTGTGGACACAGAGCAGCTACAGGCAGGGTGGTGCTGGTCATTCACGGCCCCATTTGCCCTCAGGCCTGCTTCCTACATCCTGAGCTCTGCTTCATGGCCCAGGGGCCCTCTGCTCCCAGCCAGCTTTGGTTAGGATGAGCGTGCGGCAGCAGCAGCGGCTGGCCGGGAGGACCAGTCCATTCTCTCTGCCCTGGTCCTGATGGGAGTCTCCGGCACAGCAGGTACGACCATGTCAACTCTTGCGTGAACACCGGGAGTGGGTTCAATTTTCCTGAGGGCCCCACCTTCATTACCACGAGTTACCCTGCTGTGCACCTGCCCATGTGCACATGCCGGGCACGGCCACCCTGCCCACAGCCTGCGCCCAGAGCCAGCCGCTCCTCCTCTTTGGTCTCACACCAGCCGGGTCTTAGCAGCAGCTGCACCGTCCAGCGCGGCCGTGGATGTGGATGTGCAGCTCTAGTCTTTGTTTTAACCCTTGCTGTACTTGAAAGCTTGGACACACTTACTCCATTTCAAAGGCAGTGCTCATTTATATAAAAAATGGCAAATGCGTACAAGCAGGAAGAAATAAGGAAAAACTGCTGTTACTCGAAATGATGTCATTTTGGTGCATATTTGCTCTCACTGAATGTCAGACTGCACAGCTCACTGGTAGCCCATGTCTGAGACTTACCTTCCTGAACAATATGACAATTCACTTTCCAACCTCAGCACCCCCATCGTTTTACACAGGGAAATGCCTGGTGGTGGGTGGTGAACTTTGAAACTTAAGTTTTTCAAAGCATGAAGGAGGAGAAAGGACTGTAGATTGGCCGCTGGTTAAGGTTTCTTCCATCCTTGACGCTGGTGGAGACACAATCTTGATTCTTCACATGCGGTTTTGGGGAGTGTAACGGGTGAGACCCATCTTTTACTTCTAGTTCCAAACCTTTCACTGATTCAACTGGACTGAATGCCAGATCCATTGTCCTCTCTGCTTGACAAAACCTGCTTAAGTGCATGTGCTTAAAACTGAGACGTGAGAGAAGCCAGCCCAGAAGGCACGCAAACAGCCATCCATGTTTGAACTCCGTAATGTCTGCTACTGTCTGCAAAATACCAAAGCACTCCAGAGTGTCCCTTTGCCCCAAAGACGGCTTTTTAAAATATAGGATTTCAATTCTTGTGTTTTCTAAACATGCTCGAACCACACTAAGAAAATCTCGTCTGGATGGGTTCTCCTGTCAGAATGCCTGCTGTTGCCCTTCTAATTAAAAACCCACACAAAACATCACTCCCAAGTATAGAAGACAGTATGTTTTATTTATTCCACTGAAAATCCCAAGTTCCTTCACGGCGACCCTCCCTCTGCCCTCACGCCCCCGCAGGCCTGGGCCATGCTGCACCTGCCACGGCCTGGCTCCCAGGCCACCAGGAGGCCCGCCACGTCCCTTCACACACACGAGGAATCTGACTCAATGCTATGTACATTCACAGTTCTGAATACCCACCAACTCTAAGTCACCACACAAGAGAAGAGAGAATCAGGAGGAACAAACATCCATTTAAAGTCTGGCTATCAGAGATTTTTTCTGAAAATGCACGGTGGCATTTCATTCAAAAAACCCTTCATCTGCAGACCTGCAGGGAAGGGGGTGGCCTGGGTCCCTTCCCTCAGAATATCTTAGTTTGTTCACCTCCGTCATTGGCCATGTGCAGGTTCTTCTCCTTTAAAAATGAATCTTCGCATTCTCCAGTTCTAAAATCAATGACTGGTAGCTACCAAGGCTACACTAGAATTTCTTCCGTGTCCAACAGGCCCAGAGCCCTGAAATCGACTTCGGTTTCCTCCGTCCCCGTCTGGCCTGGCTGGCAGTGTCCACGCTAGCAAGTCAAGGAGATTGAAAAGGAGCTGAAGGTTGTTTGTTTTCAAGCATCTGTCAGTGGAGAAACGCGTACTGCGAATCTCTCTGAGGAAGTTAGTAAACATTGCTTTCCTGTACTTACTGGTCACTTTCTATAGAGATGCCCCAAATATTAAAATCAATTCATTTCAGAAATCAAAAAAATTTTCCAAACAAACCTGGAGCCTTTGCTTTAGGAAGCCAACTGAAGTCTGTGACGATTATTGTGCTTGAAGAATGGGTTCCAATCACGTCACAGAAAATGATGAAGCAGGGTGACATCAGAAGGACTTCAGGTGACACCCCAATACCCCAGTGCCTGGAAGCCCCTTCGCCTTTGACTCTGAGAGGGGGCAGGACCCATGCGCTCAGCAGGATGTGCCCGCGACCCCGGTGCTGGGAGGCAGCGCTGCGGGGAGGTGCGGTGTCTGCGCGGCTGTCACCAGACATCCCCGTCACCCTCCGCACTGCGCTGCCCAGCATCTCCTTCCACAGGCAAGAGGCTGCGGCTTCTCTCTGCAGGGCAGGAAGGTCAGCCATGCCAGGGTGGCTGTGTCACACCGGTCACCATGGAAACGGGAGCTGAGAGGAAGATGCAGCCGCTTCCAGCAGGGACCCGGCCCCCGAGCCAGGGAGGAGTGGCAGGGCGGAGGCCGCCTTTAGTTCCCAGCTCGGCCCAGCTCATCTGAACAATATCCAACCTTGGATTGGAATGTAGGCTACAGTGAAGTGGATGACGTCATGACGGAACAGAAACAGCAAACTGGCAATGTTTATAAAAAAGAGGGGACTGGAAAAGGATTAAGAAAAGCAGGAAAAGTGTTTTGGGGCTGGGTCCTTGAGCTCACACCTCCCCGAGGGGACCCAGCAGGAGAGGGATTACCTGCTGGAGAGAGACCTGATGGAAATTTAAGTCAAAGCCCAAACAGCCTCAGATTCTATTTAAAAAAAGGCCTATAAATAAATATCCCTTGACCCTAAAAGGAAAAATGAAGTAGAAAACAATTTCCATTTTTTAAAAAATGCTGCATGTTTCCTGAAGTACCTAAATGGAGTTTATAAAGTACTCATGAGCTCCCGCACGCGGTAGAAACACTGAGAAACTGGGCGGCGGCCCTGCCAGGCTGCAGATCCGGAGGCTTCGTGCCAGAGCGACAGGCAGGTGCGCTCCGTGTGGCAGGTGGGTGCTGAGTGTGCACGAAGGCCCGCCCGGTGCACAGTGCCGCTGGAAGAGGCTGTGACAGAGACTGGAAACCAGGACCCCGTGGGAGAGCACCGGGCGACACGGTGCCCCCAGCCGGGCAGGGAACCTGACCCCAGAGTCCAGGCCAGGCGGGGGTCCGCGTGCGTGCCCTCCGATTCTCGCACAGTAAGCGCCGGTTCTGCAACAGACTCTTCACCAAGGAACAGAATAAGAACAGCCCCCGCGGTCCCTGGAACTCGGGCCGAAGGCAGTGCCAGGACAGCGGGAGTGGGGAGCGGGGCCCCGAGGTCACTCTCAGAGGCTCGTGGCGGTGACGGCCACGCGGGAAGGGCGAGTCTCACGCAGCCCTCAGTCCTAATCCAGCTTCTTCCGAGCGGGCTTCCTCCCAGCGTCCGAGTTTTCGGGGCTGAAATCGGCACAGAAACCGTTTGGGATTGGCGCAGGTGGGGTCTTCGCACAGCTTTCGAAATGCGTCTGCTCGGGGTACAAGTACTCCTCTGCGAAGTCCGGGTACAGCTCTGCAAACCTGTGGAAGTCGGCTGGAGAGACGAGGGGCCTGTGGTTACGAGGGGAGGGGCGGACTTCTAGGACTGGGGGGCTGTTTTCCCAGGGCCCTGGTGAGTGTCCACCTCACGTCCTTGGGGGAGGGTTAGAATCGTCTGTGAAATGGATGCTTTCAGGGTGGAGAGGGGAACTCACGCTTCTTTGCCGTGCACTATGGTCACACTGACAACAGGTGCAGGCTGTGTGTCCCCTACCTACTCCCGACAACGGGGGACTGTGTGTCCCCTACCTACTCCTGACAACGGGGGGCCGTGTCCCCTACCTACTCCTGACAACTGGGGGCTGTGTGTCCCCTACCTACTCCTGACAATGGGGGGCTGTGTCTCCCCTACCTACTCCTGACAACTGGGGACTGTGTGTCCCCTACCTACACCTGACAATGGGGGGCTGTGTCTCCCCTAGCTACTCCTGACAACTGGGGGCTGTGTGTCCCCTACCTACTCCTGACAACGGGGGGCTGTGTGTCCCCTACCTACTCCTGACAACGGGGGGCTGTGTGTCCCCTACCTACTCCTGACAACGGCGGGCTGTGTGTCCCCTACCTACTCCTGACAATGGGGGTGCTGTGTGTCCCCTACCTACTCCTGACAATAAGGGTGGTGTGTGTCCCCTACCTACTCCTGACAGGCGGCAGCTGTGTGTCCTGCTTTTGGGGAAACCTACAAAAAGCTTACGGTTTTGAATTTGACAGATACGTCCTGGATGTAGTACTTCTGAGGCACTGTAGCCAGAGGAGCTGGCTCAAGGACAAGACCTAGTGTCAGGGCAGTGATCTGGTGCTCTGAGGGGGTGCCCTCGCCTGCACCGGCGGACCTGGGCAGTGATCTGGCGCTCTGAGGGGGTGCCCTCGCCTGCACCGGGGGACCTCGGCAGTGATCTGGCGCTCTGTGGGGGTGCCCTCGCCTGCACCGGGGGACCGGGGCAGTGATCTGGCGCTCTGTGGGGGTGCCCTCGCCTGCACCGGGGGACCTGGGCAGTGATCTGGCGCTCTGTGGGGGTGCATGTGCCTGCACCGGGGGACCTGGGCAGTGATCTGGCG